CTTCATACCCGGCCGAACCGACCGAATGCAACCGACCGCGACGCAGCCGAACTGACCGAGCCGCAAAGAGCGTCGAGTACCGGCACGACGACCGCATCACCGCCAGGACCTCCGCGCCCGCACACCGTGGACCCGAGCTGCGGCCAGGGGCTGCGGCAGGGCGGCCGAGAGGTGCGAATGGCGCTCTGAGGCGGCGAGGAACGCTGCGGGGGCAGGGGGGAGAGCTCGCCATCGCTCGGACGTCCATTCCCTGTGTTTTTGTTCGGCTTCGTGCGTGGCTTTTTCGCCAAACGATCAAGGATAAATGATCCAGGATGCTCCTCGAGGGCCCTCGCCAGAGGAAAAATGCACACCTCCGAGCGATGCCAGGGGAGAGAGGGCCGCGGACGGCCGGAGCGCCGTCAGAGCGTGCACTGCGCCGGGCCGTGCCAGGCGCAGGCGCAGGCTCGCAGGCGCAGGCGCGGGCAGGGGGGAGAGCTACCAGCCTGGAACAGATCCCTATCCCTATGCTGCCGGGCACCTCCTCACCGCGATGCCAAGCTTAGGGAGATTCCCTTATCTTTTTGAGGGCGGAGCCCTGAGATTATTGTCATCGCCTTCTGGCGCGCCGATCTTAGGGATAGGGATGCGCTCGAGGCGGGTAAGAGAGAGCGCCGTCGGCGCGTGGCACTGCGCCGGGCCGTGCCAGGCGCAGGCGCAGGCGCTCTCTCTCGTGGCCGCCCGCGCGCGCCGAGGGCAGGGCGTGCGGGCCCAGGGGGCAGGGAGAGAGGGGCGAGCCCTGCAGAGATGTCGGCCGAGCGCCCGCGGGCGAACGGCGCCCGCGCGGGCCGCGCGCGCCCGCGCGGCGAGCGAGGCCGCGCCGCGGCGGGTCGGGTGCCCGCCCGGCGCCACCAGACTAGGCGGGCCCGCCCCGCAGGGCGAGAATGGAGGGGCCCTGGGACACACAAATAAACACACACACACACACAAAAAAAAGAGCAGATTCCTCATATTTTCCAATATTTTCTGGGTTTTTTGTCTTCCCGCCCAATTCCCATGATTTCCCATATTTTCTTGGGCTCCGACGATTACTTGTGTCTGCGTGTTTCTTGTCCTCCTGAGAGAAAGGGGTAGGGGGCCACATGCGAACCCCATCCCTAACCCCCCACGATCTCTGAGGGGGAAGGGTGGGGGTTCACTTCGCCCGGGAGCTCCCGAACGAAGTGAACCCCACCCTCCCCCTCAGACATCGTCGGGGGGTAGGGGTACAGTCGGGGCGTTGACCTAAGGAACCCTACATAAGGAACGAGGCCCCTTTTTTCCATAAGCGAAACTTCGATCTCCCATCGAAAACACCAGGAAAACCGGAGGCAAGCTGTGAGACAATCAAGGAACACGGAGCCCCTCCCCAACGAAAAGGGTTCCTAAGGGGGGGCACCCCCTAAGGGCCCCCTAAGGGGGGGGCACCCCGCGGCGCCGAGGGCTCGGCAGGCTCGGCCCCGGCCGGTGCCCCTCCGGCCATGGGCTACTCTGCAGAGCGCGCTGCGCTCGGAGGTCGCCGCTGTCGGCGGCGCAGGGGCCCGCAGCGGCGGATGGGGCAGGCCTCCTGGAGGCCCAAGCAGAAGGGAAGGCTGCAGGAGGGCCCTAATACAGTCGGGGCCTTGACCTAAGGAACCCTAAATAAGGAACGAGGCCCCTATTTTCCATAAGTTAAACTTCGATGTACCATTGAAAACCTAAGGAAAACCCAAGTCAAACTGTAAAACAATCAAGGAACACCGAGCCCCTCCCCAACCAAAAGGGTTCCTTCTTCAGGGCCCCGACTGTACTGTTCCCCAGGCCAAGATTGGCCACGAGAAGGCCCACCCACGGCTCCGAAACTGGCCGCTCACGAGCCGCAAATCGAATCCATCAAAGGGGGTGCGGCAGCAGATGGCAAAACCCTTCAGGTCCGCCACCGCAGCCCTGGCACATAGCGGAGCTTGGTCGGGTCCCTTGTGGCCCGCAGCACTAACTGCGCGAAGACCGCACTTCTTCTTAAGAGCGTGGACCCACGGTACACGGGCGCTCTCGGGCGCGTCCGAGACTTGAGAGGGACTTCCCCCGAACTCTTGGACGCGCGCCCCAAACTGTCAACAGGTCGTCGGCCTTCGCGTGATCTGTGCATTCTCACTTTCCCGGTCTTCAGATGATTTTCGGGGGGTGTACATGCGGGCAGCTCAGGACATGCACTTGGGAGATACCTGCGGGCGGCCCTGGAAAGGTACTTAGGCTGTACCTGCGGGCAACTCTTGAAAGGTACTTGGAGGTACCTGCTGGCAGCCTAGGAAAGGTACTCCAAATCTGATGATAGCGGGGGGGGGGGGGGCGAGTCAAAAAAGTGTTTGGCAGCGCGTCGGGGACATCCCCCCAGAGCGGTGCAACATCGAGTCCAGCATCGAGACCCCCAAACAATCTTGTTTGACGAGGCCCGCTAGACCCCCACAAGAGTAGACCGCCCCCCGCTGCTATGAGCTCCATAAGACTTCGGATGGAGCGCTCGACAGGCGGCCCAGGAGGCAAGATCGGCCCAGGGCGGCCCCTGAGGCCCCTGAGAAAGATCGCTGCGCGCCCAAGAAGGGGCCCCGCCCCCGGGGGGTGGGCCCCCAGGGGGGCCCAGACCGGGCGCCGCGAACGGAACCCTCCTCGGAGCGCGGTCGGGAGATCCGCTCGCCCCCGCTGGCCCCGCTCACGCCACGCCGCCCCGCCCCCGTCGGCCGCCCCTCGCTCCGCTTCCCACTGCCCCACTCGCTCCGCCTCGCCCCCCACCGCGCCCCGCCCTCCTCGCTCCCCTGCGCCCCGCCCCGCCCGCTCCCCCTCTGGGCCCCGCCGGCTCCGCTTCGCCCCGCTCCGCTCGCGGCCGCGCCCCGCCCGCTGCCCTCCGGCCCCCCCCCCGGGGGTCAGCGTCGCATTGGAGACTCGAGCTCGGATCGAACCGGTGCAGCGGAGGCCAGGTCCACGAGAGAGCTTCCACAAGAAGCCCAACCCTGAGAGACCCCAGGACGCCCGTGGATCTCTGGCGAGGGAGCGTCGCGCTCTCCAGCGCAAGACCATGCAAACCCAAGGAACACAG